TTTTTGTAGAAATTTTTTGGCTTCATTGACATTAAGGAATAAAGTTAGCCTAGCCACTACAATTGCTTCGAAGCTTTCACCTGCACAAAGAAAATTGTTTGAGGAAACTGCTTCGGGCCATGGCTGAGAGTACAACATTCGGGTGGAGATGCTAATTTGACCCATTTGTGGCTTCAGACCATGACTAGCGATCTACCGACAGTATACAACGTGGTGAGGAAGAGATATGGTTTCATTTTCCACGGCGTATACTTGTTTTGGGCGGAAGGAGTTCTGCTTAATCACTAGTCTACGATTCGGACACGATGATGTAGGCCGGTACAGTCGTCATATCACCCGCCCATCATGGTTATCCAGGGTTTTTCCTGATGAGTCAATAGAGAAGCCGAACTTACACGTCGACGACCTGAAGAAATTGTTTAATAAGAAAGATGGTTTTACTCGGATGAATGACGTCGATGTTGTTCGAGTATGCCTTCTACTACTTTTGTATGCCGGCTTTTTAGGCAGAGAGGCCAGACAACCTGTTCCTCATGAGCTAATATTTGGTAGAGGACTAAATGCATGGAATCTGTTTCCGTGGGGTTCGTATATATGGAAAGCTACCTGGACTAAGTTGTCGTCTGCCTTTGATGACCGCAAAAGTTTGCAGGGCGATGGGTCGAAATACACTTTGTCAGGCTTTGTTTGGGCCTTTAAGGTAAGAATTTCTATATAATGTTTTCAAAATTATAATTAATTATTTAACAATTACTAATGTTTGTTATTATATTGTTTGTAGATTTGGATATTCGAGGCTTTCCCCAGCATGCAGACATATGCATTAAAAACCTCAAATAATATTCCTAGGGCTATTTCCTAGAAGATGAAACGTCTGTTGGATTGGGAAGACTTAATACCATATGCGACAATAAATAATGTAAGTTAACACAAATATTATCATATATAAACAAGTTATTAATGGTAGATGTTTAACTTTGTTTGAGTTTTTATATTTTAGGAGGCCAACACTCCATTAATGAGACTGACACCCACGGAGGTTGAGCTTGCCACTGATTGGTGGCAAGCTAGTCAGCGTTTTCTTGATGGCACGAATGATGAGCAGCCTCCACTTCCTCCACTTCGAGAGCCATCACCTCACCCAGAGCCATCACCTGATTGACCCGACTATACACCTCTACAACGAGAGCCATCACCTATCTTGTCACATCATCGAGCCTCTTCTCCACCATCACCTCATGATAGGCGACCAGCAAAGATCCCACGACTTCTATCTCCCTGTTCTCCACCTCCATCTCCACAAGATGAGTCAAGGGAGTTATGTGATGAGGTCAATGCCTTGCGTGAGGAGATCGGTACTCTACGCGATAACGATGGTTCATGGCGTGTGGAGGTGTCTACTTTACGTGGTGAGGTTGCCGCTCTACGTGAGATGGTAGTATCGTTGCAGAATGAGGTTCATACTCTACGCAACGAGGTAAGTTTAAGATTTTCCATATTTAACTTGATGATAAATTTACTCGTAATTTCACTTAGATTAACCATTTCACTTAGATTGCTTAGTAAATTTATTCGGTTGCTGCCAATACTGCTAAACTGTTTATTAACACTGTGAAGTTAGTATTGTCTTTTGTTTTGTCTTTTGGTTGAAGTAAATTATTCGGTTGCTGCCAATTCTGCTAAACTGTGTATTCTTTAACATTGTGAAGTTAGTATTTGTCTTTTGGTTGAAAGTAAATTTGCTCGGCTGCTGCCAATTCTGCTAAACTGTGTATTCTTTAACACTGTGAAGTTAGTATTTGTCTTTTTTTTTGTCTTTTGGTTGAAAGTAAATTTGTTCGTTTGCTGCCAATTCTTCTAAACTGTGTATTCTTTAATACTCTGAAGTTAGTATTTGTCTTTGTTTGTCTTTTGGTTGAAGTAATGCAATCCATTCAAGTTTCAATTTGCAGAAGAAGAAGAAATAGTTTATTCTTGAAACTAATTTAGTAACACTGTTTGTCTTTGGTTGAAATGAAAATCGCAACGAGAGAATGAAAATCGCAACGGGAAAGGAAAATCGCAACGCGAAATGAAAATGCAACGACAAAATCGCAACGCGAAACTATAATCGCGTTGCGATTTTGGTTTCGCGTTACGATTTTGTCGTTGCGATTTTCATTTCGTGTTGCGATTCTCGTTGCAATTTTCATTTCGCGTTGCGATAGTCATTTTTCACGTTGCGATTTTAAGTTCCATTCTTCTTCTGCAAATTGAAACTTGAATGAATTGCATTACTTCAACCAATAGACAAAGACAAATACTAAGTTGACAGTGTTGCAAGTTTGAAACATATTTGCCTTTGTTATCTGATGCATTTCATGTCTGTTATTTACTGATATTTGTATTTAATTATTTAACGGCCGATAAGGTGGATGCTTTACGTCGGGTTTTTCTTGCACGACAGAGTTCACGCATCAGACGGCGTGCACGTGCTATTAAGTCTCCGTACACCCCAATAGTGCGAAAGACGCAAGAAGAAGCCCAACTCGCCTGTCATCCCTTAAGAGTCCACTCCTATCGTTGAAGAGGCCCCTACCATTCCTCGAGAGTCTCCTCCCACCGTTCAAGAGGCCACTGTCATTGTTGAAAAGGTCCCTTCCACCATTCAAGAGTCCGATTCACATGGCGTCATATGTAGGATCTGAGAAACCCTCTGACGTGCCGGACATGATGGATTCAAGTTGGCTCTCATATGAGTTACCGACCAGTACCATACCGGTATCTGAAGTGAGAGGAGACAACTACGGACACAATTCTGGATAACACCCTTTTGGGCTAAGACCGCAGTTGATTTTTATCTACATGAGCGGAGCCAGGGTGTTTCACTGACATATGCAAGCTCAACGATGTATTATTGTTGCTTGATCGGTCTTGGTGGGGCGTATTATTAGGGGTCGAAGACAATGACTATTTCGATGGAGGGGTAAGTCTTATATTTTCTTATATTTCAATTTGATTATTTTTTTTTAAATTATGTAAGTTACTAATATATGTCTTTTTTTGTAAACATCATATCGATGCGTGGGTGTCACGTCTTCTAATAATTAGGAAACTTAAGGAAAATAAAAGAAATACACGATATACAATTATGCCGACGTCTTTTAACGCCGTTCACTTGAAGAATCAACGAGATAAATCATTTGCGTTGGGCAATGGACAAGCTAAACTTTATCCTGCATGGTGGGAGGTCGATAAGGTTAGTATTATTTTAGATTGAGTTTAAAGGTATTCATAAATAAGTGCGCAAATGAATGAATATTACTATGATTGCAGGTGTTTCCTATTTTGGAACGTAAACATGGCTTCTCGTCGAGCTTCAGCTCCCATCCTTAAGGCAATAGTATATGAAAACATGATAAATTACATATCATTGGCTGATTTAAGAGATATTATTAAGGGATGGAGCTCTCATTTGGCTAAATTCTTGGATGCGATAAATTATTGGACTCGTTCTGGAAACAAGAAGCCAAAGAAGCTCAATATTACAGTTAGCAGAGATGAGACCGCACCACAACAAACGAAAGGACCCAGAGGGAATTGTGGTCCTCTCGTATGCTTGGCGTTGGAGCGTTGATCACAGGAAGTATAAAGTATCTACCTCCCACCGATAGAGATAGAGCTGCAGTAGGCTTGGGTTTCGGCATTATATGGCTAGATCGATATATACGAGACGCTGCCTACCTGTATCCGCGTTATAAAAATGTCCATAACAATTGGTAAGTTTATAGGCTTGTGGTTTGAAAATGTTTGGTTAAGTACCTAGAATCAATAATTTGGTGTTTGTAGGTTTTAGATGTGTAGAAAGTGTTGTTGAGCAAATGTTTGGTTTCTGCAGGTTAATCTCAGAAGTGAGCTGCGTGAAAATGATGTATGGCTACAAAAGTTGATTCAATAGTAGATGAGGAAATAAGAATTATTGCTTATTTTTTTTATTGTTTAATTGATTTGTAAAAGTTGATTTGTTTAATTGATGTGAACATAATTCTTATTTGTGCTTGTTTAATTGATTGAAATGTAATTGTTGATTTTGTTGATTTCAATCTGCATTATGTTGAAGGCAAAAATGACTATCGCAACGACTAAATCGCAACGCGAAAATAAATTCGCGTTGCGATTTTCATTTCGCTTTGCGATTCCCTCGTTGCGATTTTCATTTCACATTGCGATTCTCTCGTTGCGATTTTCATTTCGCATTGCGATTCTCTCGTTGCGATTTTCATTTCGCATTGCGATTCTCTCATTGCGATTTTCATTTCGCATTGCGATAGTCATTTTCGCATTGCGATAGACATTAAGATGATTGCGAACGTCATTTCCGTGTTGCGATAGTCAAATGAATGCCTCATAAGTGATAACAACTGAACAGATCATAACAATTTTCAAACTCAAGTTACTAATACATGCCTAACTGAAAATGTTAAAAGTTCACACATAAAATCCACATAATACAACGTTTGCATTTAAAAATCACCTAAGTTAACAGTCCCAAAAAGTGAAGCCGGTTATGATTGGGATTTTAAAGATGATTGCGATTTTGATTGTCTTTTGCTTGACACCATATGAGCTTTGGATTTTGATGAGGATCCATATTTTGGTAGAGGAAAAGATGATTGTGATGGCATTGGTGATCCACATGTCAAACCTTGTATGACCACTTTCCTTGCACCGATACATGTCGATCTCTTCTTTCTTCACCCTTAGACGGTATACGATCGTGACTTTTGGTCGGCCAAGTAGCCTTATCCATGACTGGTGGCAAACTGTTTGTAAGTCATCTGATGTCCCACTCAGAAGGATGTGGAATAGGGTAGACAATCTCGCCATAAGTCTGTCGATATACTTCTGTAGTGTAGCAATCCATAGCGTATGCGCTTGAATCATCTTGATTTAGATGAAGAGAAACTTTTATAACATGGCCACATGGATAACCAGATGTTTGCCATTTCATACAACTACACGTCTTGCATTTAGATCGACAAGCCCATTTAAGTTATTATCCAGTACTTCAAACAAAGTGTTGAACATGGTTCAACTCTCCATGACGTTGACTTCACAACACGTTTCGTTATCTTTTTTCTGTCCATGGTGTAACACGATGTTCCAATGTTCCTGTAAATTAATAAATAATACTTAGTAAAATATGATAAGTACGAATTTAAAGAAATAATACATGCATGGTTTCTTTCTTGTAGTACCACTGTTGAATAGAGGCTCGAAAAAAACTCCATTAACATAGTAATGGGTAATTTCCGGGAATGACGACTTAGAGCGTTGATGATTCTGCACTATTAGACGTCATGAAACCATATCTTGCTCCAAGTTGATGTACTCTTGACCATCTTCAAACCGAAATCTTCTAGTGTTTGAGCACACTGAGACAAAACAGGTCTTAAACAGTTTATATGCTTATTAAAATCCACTTCCCGATAAGCTTTTACAGCCTTCCAGTATGTCCATTTGTGATTTTTTATACCAGCAGACCTTGATTTTAGATTTCTATACAAATGAACACCACAAAGTCCATGAAAAGCATCTGGGAAACACCTTCTAACAGCGTTGTCAATTGAGTTTGCCCTATAGGATATGATTGTATATGTAATAGAACTATGCAATCCCCTAAGATGCCCCAAAACCATGTTCATGAATCAGAGGTTTCAGATTTTCCAACCCCGTAAGCTATTGGCAGTATCCCATTGTTAGCATCCATGGCTACTGCTAATAAGTTTACTCCAAGGTATCGACCTTTTAAATGTGCTCCGTCAACTATAATAACTGGGCGCATGCAATTAATAAACGAACGAATCTACAAATCATATACACAAGAAATATAATCATTTAAATGTGAAATGCATGTAACTAACAAAATGAGTCAACAAAATTATATTTACTAACCGCAGCACCAATAGCGATAAACAGCAACTCAAAGGTCCATCTCTATCTGTTTGATATGAGTTACCGACCCAGGATTTTTCAGCTTTAAATTGTGACAATAAGCCGACAGTTGGGCAAACGAGCTTCTGGCGACCCCTCAACAATTCCAAGGCATAACACTTGGCTCTCCAAGCTTGAGAATATGAGATACTAATCTTGAACCGAGCATTCATGTCAGTCATAATTTCATGTCCCGATATACCCTACTATTCAAAAACATTAACTCAGCCAGGAAAATCACCCAACACCTTTTGTTTGCCTGTCTGGTGAGGAAAAACTTGGGTTCTTGAACATGTATGTTATCAATAAAAGTCCTAACTTGAAACATTTCGCAATCTTTTATCCTCTTTGCAATCATACGCCACATACAGTTTTTGTCAATCATACACCTTGTTTCGAAACGATCTTTGCTTGATTTGTTAACTTTTAGTTGATAGCCATCTTCCACACATTTCGTATACAAAGCTATCTTCAAGTCCTTTGTATCAAAACAATCATCTTTCTTGATATGATAATTTTTGTGTGACAATCAACTGCTATCTTACCAACTCTTCTTCCGGTATCTAAAGTAATTCTGGCATATTCCAGTTATACTCCCGTGGCATTTTCGGGGACTTTTCTTTGGGGATTTCTTTTCTTTTTCTTCTTCAGTGTTATATGAATTACAGAATGGATGTTCAAACATGTCATTTACAGTCGTAACTTCCTCCTCATTATCATCACAACATCTTCCTCGGCAACAGCAGTTTCATCATCAAAATTCAGGTATTGACCAATATCAAAATCATTACACGCAGGGTCTGTTCTTCTTCTGAAAAATCATCAAAATCCGAGTATTGACCAAGATCAAAGTCCGGGTATTGACCAAGATCAAATTTCGAATACTGACTAGTACTCACAATTTTTTTTGTTGCTCATCATCGTCTAATGGTCAATACGAAAACCGAAATTTGGTGCTGAAAGTTGATTGGGATTTGGATTAGGGAAAGGTTGTGGGTTTTGATATTGTGTTTGGTATTGGAAATGTGGTGAAACAATATTTGCTTGGTGATGAAATTGTGGTGGAACCATTAAATTTTGAGCATCATAAACTGGGTTGAAAAACTTAGTTGATTACTACCCGCTACTGACCCAACTTTACTACTTCTAGGTTCAACAACATACAATGTAACATCATCACTTGAAACACTAATGTAAACAATGAATCGTTCAACATCTTCATTGTCGGTTAACAAATAAACTTTACCATTTTTCTGATAAGATAGCCTAAATCCACTTAGGGGCTCTAAATTCAATTTATTTGCAACACGTAACATTAGAGTTTCATAAGTTAACTTTTTTAATGACAGTTTTAGTTGAAGATTTATGGGTAAAGGCATATATTGTAAAACACCATGAACATTCTCCCATGACCCTCCAAAACACAAATATCCAAACACGATCAACATTAGATGATTTCATTATTGTAAATTAATTTACTAACAAACGAGCTGCGAAACTAAAACCTGTTACCGGATGGGAAGGATGTCGTTGGATATAGGAACGGATGTCGCTGGAGAGAGTGATGATGGAGATGGATGAGTTGCGATTTAGGGATTTAGGTTATGAGTTGTTGCTGCTGCGTATTTATACCCAAAACATTTGTGTTGCGAAATTAAAACCTGTTGCGAATTCAGAAATCGAGTTGCAATTTGAAATTCATTGCGATAGTCAGAATCTCGTTGCGATTTACTAAATCGCAATGCGATTACGTAAATTGAAGTGCGAATTAGGAAAATCGCAATGTGATTACGTAAATCGCAATGCGAATTAGTAAAATCGCAATGCGATTACGTAAATCGCAATGCGGTTACGTAAATCGCAATGCGAATTAGAAAAATCGCATTGCGAATTAGGAAAATCGCAACGCGAATTTGGGAAATCGCAATGCGATAGTCAGAATCGCGTTGCGAATCTGGAAACTGATTTGCGATACCGGAGATCGCGTTGCGAATTATCGATCGCATTGCGATTTAGTTGGTCATTTTGGCAAATCCAAAAAAAGTTGGTTAAAATCGTATATTATAAGGCATTTTTGGTCACTGAGGTTATTTTCTCTTAAATAATTTAAATCTTAAGCAACTGAAAACATGGGGAAGAAAAGTTTAGCTGGAATTCCGTATATTGAAATCTAAAACCAGCAGTCCTGATGGATCAAACAAATTCAAAATTACTACAAAGCAACCATCACAGCTGAAGAAACTCGAATCATAAAATTGACTCAAACACAATAGCTCTAGGTCCACACCACGAATCAAGTTTTTTCGACGATAATTGACCTGTGACTCAACCTAGTTCTAGTCCTATCTATAAATCACCCGATAACAACCCACAATACCATCCACCATCAAAATAGGATCAACAGAATACACACCCACATGCAAATAATATATTTCATGAAACAAAATAGCAATCGTCAATGAAACATTGAAACCCAAAAAACCCCCTAAATTCACACCCCAAAATTAAACAAACCAAAATATTTTTAATATTATTTACCTTATGAAATCACGTTCAAGATGTTAAGATGAAGGGAAAGAGATGAAGCTCTGTCGAATCGTTGCAGAATTGAAAATGGTGGAGAGTGGAGAGTCATAAACGTGATTTTTTTTTGTATTTTCTTTAATTGGCCTTACTGCTTGTGGGTAAGGGTAAGTAGATAACCGGATGGACTGACACAATTTGTTTATTCGGTTAAATATGGAACAAATGGGTTCCATATGGAAAACCCGAACCGAACCGAATTAAAAGATTTTGATATTTAAACCAACCTGAAACCGAACCGTATAAGGTCAATTCGGTTCGTGTCAGTTTTTCGATTTTCTCAGTTTCGTTGCTCAACCCTACCAAACATTATCAAACATAAACACGAAATAGAAAAAAAAACCACAAAAAAAGATAATATCAAATTCAAAAGGAGATTAACTGTTAACGATCTCAGCAAACACAACAATAGTAAACATCAGCAAACAACAACAGCAGCGGGATTAAATTTTAAATCAGAATCCTAATCCAGTTTTAACAACAGCAGCAACCACTAGTTTATTCCAGTATTTGCTGAATATTCATTATTAAAGTGAAAGTAGATTAATGACTATATGCATTACAATTAAATATCTGTACGATGTTAGTGTAATGAGCATATGCATTACGATTTTCTTTACTAACAAATAATTTCACAGTTCTGTTCATTATTTCTATATCGGTAAACTTCATTCTTTAAACATTTTGTAATATTGAATGAAGCTTGATATCAGCAAACTTCATTAGTTACAAACATGTTTTTAACAAATAATATAGAAACGAGATTATGCTTTTAACTCTAAAGTTACAAACATGCAGATTACTTATGTGGAGAATTATTTTTACTCCCTGATTCAACACGAAAATAGAGCATACCAAAATCTGAGTCTAATATAAAAAAAAATAATGATATCAAGAATTATTTCCACTGTTGAGATCAATATTAAAACAAAAACAAAAGAGCACAACATTTCTTTAGCTCATGAAGAAAGGAAAATGTTGATCAAAGTCTCACTGTATTATGCATTAAATCCTTTTATGTTAGTTGAGTTTTCCATTTTACCTGAATAATAAGCAGAATAAAAAAGAGAAAGAAGAACCAAACCAAAAAGAACAAAAGCAAAAAAGAAAAAGTAAAGTACTATCCATCCATATTCTTTTTGTTTTCCGAGCTATCAAACAGAACAAGCAGATAAAGAAAGCTTAATTTTTTTTGGAGATATTACGGTTGAAATGAAGTAGAATGCAAAACAAGACAAAAATAGAAAAAAGAAATGTAAATATATACAAAAAAAAACTCACCTGTGAAAGGTTGGTAAAGGAACAAAGGGGAGAAGATAGATTACTACTTTCAAAATTGCAGGCGAAAATGTACGGGCTGTAGAGAAATAAACAAATTAAAGCTTTAACCATTAAGCAGAAAGCAACATAAGCCGAGAAACTCAGAAAGTAGAAAGGTGAAATAAATCCACGGGGCTGGGTTTTTCTCAATGATTTTTCACAAGTTTCACCCATTTGATAATAAAATTTCTGGGCAGTCCTTAAAATGATTGGTGGGTAATAGTCTAAATTCTGATTTGATTTCAAATGATAATAGAAAAGCCTGTGCAATAGTGGTTTGTCTAGATTGTGTTGGTACTCAAGTTATACAACTAGAGGGATAATATTACTCTCTCCTTTTAAACTCAACAAATCTTCTCTTGTCATAAAGGCCCTATAACAACCTCTGCAACAGACATTGCTTGCAATGGGACTCTATTTGGTATGGCCACTCTAGTATCTATACAAATATATCCTTATTTAATCATGTTCATTTCTTTTCTTTTCGGTGACATTCTAAAAATTAGAAAATACATAGAGGAAATCAATGTCAGAAAAAAAATTAGAAAAATAACAACTGTAATGCTAGCTTATTCCTTCTTGTGTTCTCATAAATTTGATTAGCAATATATTGGAGAAAACACTGCTCCATTATGCTTAAGATTTTCTTTCAAACAGTACAAATCAAACACCAGTTTCTACTTTGTAAAATGCAAAACAAATATACACATAAAACCTGGAAGCTTCAATTTTAAAAGATGAAACCTATACATTCTTAAAGAACTCCATGAAACTAATATACACATAAAACATAGATTGATGCTAGAAACAGGGACCTTCATCTGCACCAAATTCAGATGAACTTCTGAAAAACCAGATTAAAACTACTTAAAACGCCGATCAATCATGCTTTAGCGATCCTCAAAAACACCCAGAAAGTAAAATGTGTTTCTTTTTTTAAAAATGAACAATTTATAGAACAAAAACTTACCCAGAATTAAAACATCTTAAAGCAAAATCAGAGTGACCGATGTAGAAATTATTATTCGAAGAGAGAAAGAAGCCGAACATCAATTCAACTACAAATAAGTTACTAATAAGAATTAAACTACACATAAATGAGAGGGAAAAAAGGAAAGGTAAACCTGTAAGTATATCTTTTGCGGATGTCTCCTGGGACGCACCATTTTGTTTATGTTCATATCCATCATTGCAAATTTGACATCTTCTGGCTACGCTAAGATTCAAAGGCATAAGACCATGGGTTTTGATTAAAAACCAATTATTTTTTAAGCACACAAAACCTACTTATAAAGATCATACTATAAAAGGAGTACCTTTTCAGCACCTGAACTAATTTGCATTTCAATTCCATGCAAAACCGTGAATAAATAGAAAAACCCATGAAGATGAAGCCGTATTTGATGGAACAATGGAGAAAACCCCAATCATATGTAATTCTAAAAGAAGGAAGGGGAAAAAGAAACCTAATTTACTTTCGTTTATAGCAAAAATGGAGAAACCAAACGAGTAAATTACCAGATATCTTCGATGAAGCCATATTTGGTGAGCTCCGCGTTTTCGTACTTGTTAAGAACCATGAGGATGGTGTAATCGCCGGCTTCTAGTCGGGATTTGAAGTAAAAAAAAATCTTTTCCCCTTCAAGATTTCTCCTTTCGATTTTGATTTGTCTTTTGGGAAGACAAGAGACAAAATTAGGGATGCAGTCAAGAAAGGGTTTTTAATTTGATGTTTAAGTGTTTGAATTGGGAGAAAGACGGAGCATTGTGTCGGCGTTTGTACGTAAAAACGCCAACAAAGTACAGAATAATTGCGGTGTTTGATACACAAACGCCAGCTAAAAACGCTATTGTAGTACACGTTTATAGCTGAGTTTTTTTTCAAAAAACAATATATCAATTTATAGCGGCATTTTTATTCAACCGCAACTAAAGTACGTGCCTGTAGCGGCGTTTTCACACACCACTATATATTGGTCTATTACGACGTTTATCTGAAAACGTCACTATATGTGCAAAAGTAATGGCATTTCCTCTAAAACCTACACTAAAACCGTCGCTATAAACTTATGATCTAATATAGAATAATGTCAATAAAATAAAAAACACAAAAAAAAAATTCTATAAATTGCATTATTTAATAAGGTTAGATTATTTACTTTTTAACATTAACTAACATAATTTCATGACGTCTTTCAAAATCGTCATATAAAACAGATATAAAAACAAGTGACAAATAATTGATTTCGTCGTACTAAAAGTATTTTTTGTGACAATAATAAAATGTCACTTTTAGTGTCTTATACAATATGAAATTAAATTGCCACGAATAAAACTTATTAGTGACAAA